ATTTGTTGCTCTCGAAATATGCAATTTACGAATTTGTTGCTTGCAAAATAAGTTTAAATAATCACGAAAAACCGCAGCGTACTAGCGGAACAAGGGTAAAGTATCAGTAAAAAATTGGTTGCTCGCTTAAATTTGGTACTGGGATGTCATCTGAATTTGTTGCCCTCGAAATATGCAATTTACGAATTTGTTGCTTGCAAAATAAGTAGAAAAAACAACGAGAAGTCTCAGCGTGCTGGCGGACCAAGAGACGCACACGTGCTCGCGCCGCGATGACGCGACCTCGCGGCGGCGGCGTTGCGGTCCAGCGGCGCAGCGCGTTTGTCGATTGTTTTATCATTCGCGTGATACGTTGCGTCGAACGGTTGAGTAGTGGAATCTTTTTGAATTCTATTTCATTTTTCTCAGCGAGACAGTGAAAAAGTTATTTTACTTGTGAGTGCTATTGAATAGTTTTCATCTCACATGCAGTGTATCGGTCTCTAATGTGAGCCCTTTGATATGAACCGACTATACCCTGTGAAATGCGCGAAATCAGACTAGCATCTATGTGTGTTCGTTTACCGATAGCTTTTGGTTCGTTCAACTTTCTGTAACTGTGATATTTTTGTTATCTGTGAGATATAATTATAAACATTGAAGATGCGAAAAGGTAGAAAAGGAGTCTCTAGTGACATTATTATAAAGACAATTTTAAAATATAAGAAGGACATACTAATAGACGATAAAGTAGTGTCAAAAACTGCTTCAATTTGGCAAAAAATTGCAGATGAGTTGTTGGTTCATGGACAAATTAAACCAACGTCGTTATATACATTTGTGACTTGTGATAGATATAATTTACGAGAATTATTAGGTATTAAGGTATTTAAATCAAATTTGTGGAATAGAAATCGCAACGAAAGTATTACATCTGTCGATACTTCGTTAAACGATACAATTAATATAAGCAACGAAAAGGTATTCGTAATAACATTAACTCTAAGGGAATACGAATCTCTATTGGATACGAAAGTATATGGAAAGCGAATCTGTGTACGATTTAAAAGCGGAGAATGGGAAGATGTAATAGCGCAAAAAATTTGGAATGAAACAAGGATTGAATGTGGAATAAATTTTAAAGGACATTATTTAACACAGAATGCTGATTACGGTAATATTTATGGTAAGTGTATTATTATATAAGGTATCTTATGTATAACTTCCCGTGCGTATCTTATTAATATGGGGAATATATAATAAGAAAGATGTGTGTGTGTTTTCAGTGTTTTCTTCTTTAACTAATAGCGATGTGCAACCGGTCAAGTTTAGCGATAATACTAGATACTTTCTCTCAAGGAATTTCACTATCAACTTCTTTTTTGAACTGTATAAAGTATTTTTTGTTTCTCAGGAAAATGCCATTGCGGATCAAATTTTCGAGGCAATTTACAAAAATGTTCTAATTACGTAAAAATAGAATGCACATTATCATCTGGAAATGGACGGTGTGGAAAACGAAATCTGAGAGCTGCTAATCGGAAGAAGATTGGAAAAATTTTATGTACAAAAAGTGTAGAACTTTTTAGAGCTGAAGAAGCAAAGCGATTAATGTCTCCAGGAGGGCCTGAAGCACCCTTGTTTTATACAGCAAATGTTTTGCATCAAGCAAAACATGAAAAAATTGCTTCGGATTATCTCGATCCAAATCCAATAAAATCTCTGGAAATTTTAAAAAGTACAGCTCTTGGAAAAAATGTTGTACATAACATAGGCCAAAATCCATTTTATTCATTCTATTGTACATCACATCAGATACAGATTTATAAAAAATTATTAAAATCAGAACATATTACCCTATATATTGATGCAAGTGGTGTTAGAGTTCCACGATTAAATAGACCAGATGGAACATTGTCTCATTGTATTTTTTTGTATCACGCAGTAATTAATTCTGTTGCTGGTCAATTTTCAGTTTCGCAATTTTTGACCGAAATACATACATCCACCTTTATCAGATTTTGGTTAATGGAATGGTGTAGAATGGGTGCTCCACATCCCAAAGAAGTCGTGACAGACGCTTCACGAGCTTTATTAACTGCTGTTATAAAAGAATATACGTGTTACCCAACTATCGAGCAATATGCTGATGCTTGTCGAAATACAGTCCCACGTTGTTACATACGTATTGACGTGGCTCATTTCATCAAAACATATTCTAATGCTCTAAAATCTACCTTAAGACCAGTTCGGACATTTTATCTTGCAGTTATTGGACAACTTGTATTATGTCGTCAAATAGAAGATGCGAGAAAAATTTTGAAAGCACTTTTCGTTATTTCACAGTGCGAATTAGAGGGTAATCTGGAAGGATCACGCACCAAATCTGATTGTGAGACACAGAAACAATTTCTAGAACATCTTATCACTGGAAAAGAAATGACATATGACGAGGAAGAATATAATAATGAAAAATCTATTCCAAAATTGAAATTTGACGAAGACGAACAAACGGAAATATCTTCAAATTGGTGGTCAAAATGGGGAGAAGAAATAAATTATGAAATTCAGGATAGTATTTCTCAAAAGGGCACTCGAGCTAATGCACATTACGCACCTCATATAACCAATAAATTATTACGTGATATTAGTACAATACCTTTATGGAGTAACATATATACAGACAAATTTGGGTATGGACGTATACCAGCATCAAGTGCTTCAGTTGAAGGTGAATTCAACAAATTAAAAAATTTAGTCATAAATAAGCCTTTAAGAGTAGATAAATTTGTTGAAGAACACATTAAATATTTAATTGGACGCGTTATAATAGCAGATGCCGACATACAACCGAGAAAAATCAATTTGTCAACTAATATTAAGTCATCTACTTATTCTCGTGATAGTCTCAAAGATGAACATCATGAATTTCAAGACACTTCAAATTTTACTCAAAAAGATATGAGTCTACTAGAAAATACTGAGAAAGAATTAAATCTCATTAAAACTGAAGATGTCAGTTCCACGTCATTTTCAAAACAGTCACGGATTTCAGATTCAATTGATTGTGAACCAAATATGCCTCAGATTTTGAACGAAATCTGTTTGAACAATATAGAAAAGAAAACTAATCTCGATTTAACTGATAGTGATTTATCCATAAATGATCATACTTACAAGGAATATGACAATTTATATATGTCAGACAAGGAAAATGTAGAAGAAAAAAAAATAGAACAAATTAAATCAAGAAAAAGAAAGATTAAAAAGGACATTTACATTTCTGACATAGACAATACTTTAACAGATCCAGAAATTACAGCTTTACGAGAGGTAGAAAATTGGAGAGGAAAAGTCACTGGACAGTCCAAGAAACGAAAAGGAAAATATTTAGGTCAACGAATGGATGAAATTTCGGATATTTTAAAAGCAAAACCAAAGAAAAAAATACCCCTCTTAAAAAATGGTAGCTGCCTTACTTTACAAACCATGAAATTTGGAGATAAGTCGATGATCGTTACAAATACATGTGCCTTTGACAGTGTATGTCAAAGCATATTAATTATATGTCATGATGTTGCTTATATACAATCATTTATTACACAAAAAGCATCATCTATTCCGCTATTTAACATGATAGTTAATATTTTAAAAACAGGTTTGATTCAAATATATCCTATTATTAGAGGAAGTCACTGATACCGACATACCACTTTGTTTTTAGACAATACTTCTTAAAAGGTATTTCTACAAAAGGTAAAAATACAACTTCAAAAACATAAATACAAAGTAAAAAGTGTCTTCTATCAGATAGTATAAGCAATTTTTATAATACTGTTTGCAATTTTGCAATAATTAAATTTTTCGTAAGTTATGCAAAAATGAGCGTCTGACAAAATGGGCTCCAAAACTGACATAGTAGGCAATAATGCCAACATTCCTATTCTATAAATAAAGATATATCCTATTCTATAAAGAAAACTAATTTATGAAACTATAAACATTTAAAATGACATAATATTATCAATAATACAGTCACTATTATTTTAATTACGCAATTTGCAAAAGAACACCGTAAGAATTTTCTTCTCGGATTCATAGAATTGGTTTTTAGCTGATTTGGTATAGAAATAAGCCACAAATATATGAATTATGAGTTTGTACTTCTTTAATTAGCTAAACAGATCATGATTTTATTAGTATTATAAAGTGCAATAGTTTCTGAGAAATAAGGGAGTGTCACTTTAGGAGATCTATGTCAGTATCGGCGACTTTCCTCTAGTAATTTTTAAAGTAATTTTTATCCTATTATTTACAAAAAAATCGAATCTATTACAAAATTGAATATTATTTATGTAATAACCTAAAGCTCCACTGCTCGTAAAAAAATTGTAATCAAATTAGAAAATCGACATTAAATAACTTTACTTTGACTACAATTTTTCACTAAATGATAGAAACAACAAAAGTGGAAATAAAACGATAAGCTAATCATCAATAGCATTAGGTTTTTACGATAGGTTCTTTTGATGATAGATGAGTAACTTTTTAAACATAAGTAGTTCTTTAATAAATAATTGTTTATATACAGGTATTACAACAAAAACGTATCGCCTACGTGCTGATATATTACGTGATGTCTTTGGTGCAAGTATTAAAGGGAATATATATCTTCTTAATTGTTATAGTAGCGTAGCATACGTAACAAGCAAGGTATTAATTAACTGCCCAAGTATCGAACACGAAGTATCCTGCTCAAAAGGTTGCATAAATAATAGAAAAACGATGAATATTATACTATTAGACAGTTCAGATCTAATGAAAACTTCATTTAATAATATAATTAAGGATTACTTGACACTAACACCGAAAATGTGTCAAACATGTTGTACGAGCACCACGGCTGAAGTAATAGCAGCTGGTAAATGCTACATTAACAATTTTATCAGTATTATACATATATTTAGCGAATATAATTAACTTAAAAAATTAAAATTTTATAATTTTATGTTTTTTTAGGCCCATTGATTTTCATAGAAATGTATAATAAAGACGGGAAAGAAAAATATTTTTTGCTAAAAGAATTACCAACACAATTCGAAATATCAATTAAAAATCGAAAAAAAAAGTACATACTTTCTGCTGTGATAGATTACAAAGGACCACATCATACTCGGACATCAAACCAACAATTAGGACATTTCACAACAATATGTCTTCGACCAAATAAGACATGGATACAATACGACGACTTAAAAGAAAAAGAGCAAATAAAACCTGCCACTTACACAACAGATCCGCAATTATTAATATATATTTTGAATGAAACATAAATTAAAAATGATCTTTTAACTTCAGGCTGAGATTATCACACTTATTAATCCTTCAACCTAGAACACACATCATTCCACATTCAGATCAAGTACTTGCTTCACGCACGTATTTGATACCAAAATAATCTAGAAACAATATACCATCAGGATATATCATTTTCTTAATTTATTATTAATGTAAGAAACGAAAAACAAACCGTTTCTCTTAGCTAATCCTCGCGCGCGGGCCGCGCTCTAATAAGTGTATAAGATTCATTAACCGATCGTCAATGAATTTTCAGTACCTACGAATTTTAAAAAACGACAAACCTTTTTTGACATTTTACTCTTGTTTCGCCTGCACACTGGGATTTTTCGTGGTCATTTATACCTATTTTGCAAGCAAATTTCGTAAATTGCATATTTCGAGACCAACAAATTCAGACGACATCCCAGTACCAA